CTGAGGGGTCTGAGCCGACCAAGGTTGAGATTTATATGAGTAACTGTCGTTTCTGCATACTGATGAGGGAAACCTTCTGATCGTTTAGAAACCGCCAGTAAGTGAATTAATCATTAGCTGGTGGCAGCTTTGGGCGATCAGTCGGATAGACACACAAGCACAGTCTATGACCAAAACGGTCTAAGCACTTATTATGAGCTGCATTCTTAAAAAAGACTGATTTTGTGTTTGACATTGGTTCAGAAGCAATTCTAAATGAGTTATGGGGTCTGCAGTGGAAATTTATTATTTATTTGTCGTTGTCAGCTAGAAACGCCAATTCCAGATAGAGCTACGCAGGTTTGAATTCGTGCTCAGTCGATTATCTTTTGGACGGATCTCTTCCTGGGAAGGCTTGCCAATATAATGCCTCATGATATGCATGGGTGTGTGACGTTTTAAATTCAATCCTTGTGATCGTGCTCCCACTATAAATATTTTGTTTTGGACGGTGATGCACTCTGAGGATTGGTCCTACGTACCTTTCTTGCTTATGATAAATACAGGCAGTACATAAATTCCCAAGATTTATCGTTTGGAAAGCACACTGCTACGCGAGCTCTTGATGTCATGTGTACTGAGTGGTAATTGCGATTGCAGCCAAATACAGCCTTTTCGAAAACACATTTAAATGTTTAATTTCCGAGGCGCAAATGATGATTGTTTTTTGGAAACGCATTCAGTTTTCCTTTTATAGATATAAAATGTTCTCTGCTTGCAAAGCAAATATTCGTAGTTTTAACTTCATCTCTAGTTTATGACAAGAACCAACTCCTACGGATTAGTATTTGGCTTTTCGTGCCCAGCAGGCACAATAATCAGCCCGATACCGCATTAGTAGTATTAAAGACTTTAAAATTTCATTGTTTTCCATTCTATTATATGAAACAAAGTCGATTGATCCAGTGAAACAATAGTGTCCGTGTAGTTCTTAATATTTTACTATATAACAAGGGATGTTTAGCATAAAATTCGATTGAATGCGAACGCAATTGTATGACCACTCCAAACAGTCAGTAATAAGTTATGTGCATGTTTGCGTTTGTGTAAAAAAATCGGTAACTGACTGCTTGTAAAACTCGCAAAAAGTTAATTATCCTTATACTTACGCATTGCCACGTACGGTGGATACGACGGAATTGCAGACCTGTTGTTCTATGTTATAGACAGAGTAAACTGAAGGCAAACAGATGGGGAAAGGGGCATTGTCGGCTCCCTTTAAATTTGATGGACGCACATTTGCTGATTTCCCAAGCTCATCCACATGATCATCATCCATTTGGAACCTAGGACATAATGGACTGGAAAATTGATTAAAAGATCTGAAAACTTGGGCATTCCCAGAGGAGCTATAGAGATTAGATTATAAGGGGATTAAATTGCATTCCTTTCTTTGTACTGGATTGTACGAAGAACTTTATACTGCACGAGGCATCGGAAGCAAGCCTACTAGCAGTATTCAGGGTCAGGTGGAACAAAAAAGTGCGCAGAATACGAAAATTCTGTCCTCGCGTGCATTCAGAGAAACCTGTGGTCACTTTTTGATGGTTTCAAGGTGGTGTTTGCTAAAGTTTCCTGATATTCAGCATAACCTCCACGAAGAATAACCACACCCTCTGGGCATATGTAAACCTACACTTTGTGTTAGTTGCCAAACTGTGACGTTTTACGAATTTTCCGCATGTACTTTTCGGTCTTTGGAAGTACGTGTTTAAAGCTTTATGCATATCTTCGTGTCTTGGTTAAAAACAGTATATCACCCTCGAACAAGTGGCAGTCTTTCGTTAACATTGGAGGTATGTAGCATGTGAGGAAGTGTGCATGACTTGCACAAGTCGATGAAGTACACCACCACAACGTCGTGGTTCAGGTTATTTGACGTTCCTGATGTACTCGCCGGAGGTTCTAATGGGAAAGATGTACCTAACTAGAAGTATTCGTTGCTAGGCAACAAAAAATAATATGACTTAAAATAATTAGTAATAATGCCAGAAGACCCATATATATACATATATTGAGAACAAGGGTTAGCAAAAAAGACTAGGGAAATGGGGGTGATCATTTACAGTCAATTGGCCGTAGCCGGCCAGTCCTGCCCGAGCCCAGGCTTGCAGAACTGAAGTTATAACTGGGATTTTTGATAAATAGACGTCACGTAGTCCAAACCTTTGCCCATGTGCTCTGAGCTAGTCTTTCTGTCGGTTTCGATCGGGTGTATTGATTATGGTGGTGGGGCGATCATTGGTCGGGTAACAGGCCGTGCTCATCTCGTTGTGCCTAGGGGCCCAAAATAGAACTCTCACAGCCAGTCACATATCGATTAACAGTATGCACAAATAAAGTAGTACGGATAAAGACTAGGGAGACCGAGATGGCCACTTTTTTGTCTATAAGTTGTCCCCCAAAGCAGCAGGTGGTGTATGACTGACTGACGACGGCAGAAAAGCTAGAAATGGTCATTTCAGTCTTTCCTGTTTTTGTCGACACTCTGTTTAGTGTATGTTTCTGGTCGCTATGCGCCTGCCTTCATTTGGCTCTAGAGTGAGACCCAAGACAACAAGATGAGCTCCCGATGATTTCCACCGTGTGCTCACATAGCAAGCTGAGGGTAGGCATCGTGAATTGTGCGTGAATTAGTTTATGGTGGCAGTAGACTTGCACGGCATCTGCCACACTCTCCCCTCCCCGCCTGAGCTAGGTGTTAGGACATAGTCAAGAAGGCCGAAGGCGGGAGATGGCGCGGATGGCTGGCACAACTGGACCCGCACCTAGGCGCACCACTTCACACCCCCTGGTCCACACAGCAAATGACCAGGATTTTTGCCAACAACAGCACAAAAACGAGTCAGAAAGGGGAAGACGACTGGGCAACCATATTCACCACCTGTATATCCAGCGGGACCACAAGCGCATCTATCGTTAAGGGACCAGGTGCCAGATAACCGCCAGCACACACCAGGCTGCGAGAGCCATGATTTGCTGAATAATGACATAGCAGACGTTCAAAAACCCTAAGGCTATGAGGGATGACGCACAGCCCGGCACTGTGTCTGGGCCAATACCCTTCGGAGGCCGGGTAACCAGCCAGTCATCGACTGAGGGGTATTAGCCATAGGCTTACACTCCACACACTTGTGAGAGTGCTAGAGGTCACGTTAAGAAGAAGCCGTGGCAGCCTGACTCTTAGTCCACCAGTCCGCCATTCCACAAAAACACACACAACTATACTGACTGCGTGGGCCCAGTTGAGGCTCAGTTGGCAGCCCTTCAAGCCACGGCGCTCAGCGCACCGTGATAGTATCAGACTCAGATCACACAAGCAACAGAAGAATCGCATGAAGAAGGAGGGGAGAAGCACACTTCCCACGTGCGTAGGAGGTGGCAATTGAGTGCTTGCGTTGTGTGTTGATGAGTGATGTCGTTGTGTGGTGCAGGTGCTGGTGGGGAAAGCTCTGATGGTGTGGTGTAGCCGGTGGTTTTTTACCGCAGGTTTTCATGAATACGCCTGTGGTCCTATAGGCTCATGCTGTGAGTAAATGTGCGGGAGCAATGAGGGCAGTTTAGGGGGATGCGGAGATTGTACGTTGGTGCTCCAGGCACTGGTTCCCCAGCCTCTGTGCGACGGATTCGCAAATGATTGGTCAAGCCGATGAGTGAGGTGAACATGCGATCGCAATGAGGACAAGTATGAGCCGAGTCCACATCGCTGTGGGGTGGGGCTGTTGATGATGATAGTAGTGATTGATGGGACGTCGCCCCACAGGGGGGGGAGCGCGTAATGTCGTGGTGCTGGTGGTGGTGGTCACCATGGTCGACGCAGTGGTTAGGGGAGGGCGGATGGTGTCGGTGGTTGATGGTAGCGGGACAGCGACAGTGCGATAGTCAGTGACGGGGGCGACGGTCCGTTCTGCGTTTGCAGTCGGAACGAGAGTGGCAGATGTAGACGTTGTCGGGTTGCTAGCACACTGGGTCCGAGGGTGTCCCACGCGACCAATGCGCGCGGAATGCGCGGGCGTTCTGAAATCAGTTGGCGGTTAGCACTGAGGAGGCGAGGCACTTGCGAACCTCCCTTTTTGGCTTTGGCGCAGGCGATCCGATTTGCTTCGCAGATGGCTGCTCCGGTCTTCACTTCTCTGTGTCATGCCGGTCTCTTCTGGATGAGGTCCTCCCAGGTCCCCGGATTTATCTGAAGCCTTTTCAAAGAGTCCTTCAAAGTGTCTTTATAGCGCCGCTTTTGTCTTCGTTGTCGTCGAGTACCCGTTACAACATCACCCGAGAAAAGTTGGGCAACGATAGGGTGTAGAACCCACAACTAACATGATCTAGCCCGTGAACCGTGTTATACGTTGAATGGTGGTAGACGGGGTTTTACGGGTGGGACAACACATAGGACAGAGAGCGAGGTCACAGAAAACAAATAACCTTCTTTCAAAAGTCTTATCGTACGCTGTCATTCGCCAAAGAAAGTAAGTGCGATAATTAGATAATAAACAAAAAACATTTTTTTAAAAAAGACGGCTTTGATTGAGGCGCCGCTGGTAAGTTTACATTCAGTCAGTACGGGTGGGAAATTTCAAACAATGAAAACGGTGAAAAATAAGTGGTGTTTAGAGTCACACTGAATTTTAGGGTATATTTTCGGAGTTGCCATCTACTTGGGGGTCCTACACCCCATCGTTGTCAAAATTTGTTTCCGTGGAGGCGTGTCTTCCATCTTCACGAGATGGCCGCTCCAAAGTAGGCGCAGCTGCCTCAACATGGCGTGAATGCTGAGGATTCCGGTCTGTTCTAGGCTTCCGTGCCGGGTATCCGGTCTTGCCATCTCATTTTTGGTATTCTGCGAAGGTAGCTGAGAGGCAAGTGGTTAAGTCGGTTGGCAAGATTGAAGTAGACAGCACAAGTCTCCACTCCGTAGAGAAGTGTCGTTAGAAAGACCACCTGGTACATCTTCAGTTTGATATTCAATTGGGGACCGTGACAATTCCACACGGATTTCTACAGCCAGCCGAAGACTTGACTGGTTTTGGAGTCTGGCGAGCAACCCCATCGTCGATTCTGGCACAGTCGAAAAGTGTACTTTCGAGATAAGCAAAACTGTCCACGGTTTTGAGTTGGTTGTCGTCGACAGCGATACGAGGAGGAGTGCAGTGTTGCGTGTTGGGTGACGGTTGGTGCATGACGATTGTTTTGTCCGTGTTGACAGTCAGACCGAAGTTGGCGCACCCGGCAGCGAGGAGATCCATGCTCTGATGCATGTCCATTTCGGTCGTGGTGTTGAGCTCGCAGTCGTCGGCTAAGAGCAGGTTGTGGGCAGTGGTCGTAGATAGTCGCATCGCCTGCGGCCTGCGTGCGCCTGCTGTTGAGAAGATACCCGTCAGTTCCATAGGCGATGCGTATCCCGGGGCGCCCATCACAGAAGATGCTCATGAGCATGGCAGAGAACGTAAGACTGAAGAGGGTGGGCACGAGGACGCAGCCCTGTTTCACTGTCCTGGTCACTGCGAATGCCCTGGAGATCGCGCCGTTGTCTGTGAGGCGTGCCAACATCCCGTTGTGGAGCCGACATACCACGAGCGGGAATCGTTCAGGACAGACGAATTTCTGCGTGATTTTCCATAGAACCTCGCGATTCGCCGTGTCGAAGGCTTTCGTCAAGTCCAAGAAGGCAGTTTTGGGGATGGGTTCGAATCTCCTGGCATTTCTCCTGTAGCTGGCGAACGGAAAACACCATGTCGGTGGTGTTCTGGTGTCGTTGACAGAAGGAGGATGTAGGCGAAGATCTTCCCAGCGATGTTGATTAGCGAGATGCCTCTGTGATTGTCAGAGGCTTTCTGGTTGCCTTTAGGATTGTAAAAGTGAACAATAGTGGAGTCCTTGGAATTTTTAGAAACTTGTCCACAGCGTCACATCTCCTGAAATATCGTGCTGAGTTGACCCATCTAACAATGGTTGCCATGCTTATAGATTTTGGCTGAGATTGCATCGGAGCCTGAGGCCTTCCCGCTGACGAACTGTTGCACAACACGGGTGGTTTCTGGGAAGGAGGGCGGAAGATCCAGGTTGACGGTGATTTCCACTTGGGGAACCGCACGATGGCGGAGTCGGAAATTGCGGAGGGACGGTTGAGAACGCTTCTGGAGTGCTCGGCCTAGCGCTTCAGAATCTGCGATTTCTCAGTCAGAAGCGTTGATCCATCGGAGCTGAGAAGCGTTGCAGTTCTTTTGTCTGGAGGGCCTTAGATCGCCTTGATTGCAGCAAAGAAGCTCTTTGATTCATTGCGGTCGGCGTATGTCTGGATCTCCTTGGTCTTGCGAGTCATTCAGGCGTGCTCATTTCGCGCAAACGTTGTTGCGCTAGGCGGCGACATTGGTGGAAGGTCGCTTTGTTCGCATAGGTCGCACGGTCAACGTAGGCACTGTGCAGCCTGTTCTTGGCGAGCAGGTTGCCGATGACTGCGGCGTTTTCCTCGAACCAGGTGCTGATTCTGGCGAAGTGCGTGGCCGAGGACGGCCAAGGCAGCTGAATGAACGCCGTCTCGTAGCAGGCACCATCGGCTCTCCACGGAGACGTTTTTATCTGCAGCTGGTATGTCTTGCAGCCGCTGCGCCTGTTTGTTGCTGAAATGCAAACGTTGAGCAGGCAAAGCCTTACTGGGAGTCACTTACATTGTGGCCTCCTGTGTGGTTGCAGAGGGAAGCCCATCTTGGAAATGATAAGGCGGTGGTCCGTCCAGCCATCGGCGTTGCAGATCACCTTGGACACCATCACGTTCTGCCAATTTCGCCGCCGAACGAGAACATAGTCCAGCAGCTGCCAGTGCAGCAATGGAGGTGCACCTAAGTGGCTTTCTCCCTCACTGGAGGGATGAAGAAAGTGCTGACCAGAATGAGGCGGTGTTCGGCGTAGGCTCGTAAGTGAAGGAGGCCATCGTCGTCGCAGCCGACGATTACGTAGAAACCCACCACTCGTTTCGGATGGTAAAGGGAACGCCCGCGTTCCGTCGCTCTGTCTTGGGGCTACGGCTCCAGAGGAAAGTTCAGCCGGCATTCACCTCCTCCAGTTGGCCTTGTCCAGAAGACCGGGTCTCGCTAAGTGCAACGATGTTCATATTGTAGCGCACTAGTTCCTGAGCCACTAGCGCCGTCAGCCATCTCGGTCGGTTGCTCCTCAGACTTTCCTAAAGGGAACGAACATTCCAGACTGCCAGAGTGAGCGGGCACACCCTAGCAGCCTGGGGGGTGAGGCGGCGGGAGGAGGAGGAAGAGAGAGAGAGATAGATAGAGTGTTGTTTCTTGTTTGTGGGTTTCAACCGCAGGCATTGCAGTCTGTGAGTCATGGTCTGCATGCAGACGTTGTCAACCTAGCATTTATTTAGGGCACCTTTTCCAGTCCGCTCCCCCTCGCGGGAGTAAGCAGTGCTCTCCCTAAACAGGGTTGCTTGGTCGCACCAGACGGCTGTCGTTCTCCACTAAGAGTCATTAAGTTCAGTGAGAAAACGACCCACTGGCCTGTGTTGCTTACCTGGTTGCATGTCGCCCTCGGCGTAGGGCTTTCGACCGTGGGGGATGAGTAAAATAAAGATGGGCGTAAATTTGCTTGAGGTAAAACGCGCATTATCGGTTCCTGACCATATGAGAAAGGCCGAAAATTTCTGTAGGTCATTCACTCTGATCATTCATTTATCAATCGGCGCATCGGCCTGGAGGTCATGCACACAAATCTCAAAGAAAATGGAAAAGATGCAGCCAATCAAAACGTGATATGAGCCCACAGCATCGACCCATTCGCAGCGCCTACAAAATAATATCGATTCGCCTCGTCTACCTCCACTCTCAGATGTCGGATGCGAACCCAAATCTCTTCAGCTGACTTCACTGTCCCCTCTGTGTCTTTGATAAGGAAACAAAGTCGTTGGTACAGCCAGTTTGACAACCCAAAGGTTGAGGTGCCACCTAAAGAAACGATTGGGCAGAGGGGCACCCCTGGCTTGTGTACCTTGGGCAGGCCGTAGAAGCGTGCCATCGCGATGTCAGTGGCTTTCGCGGACAGTGCCTCTCTTCTCGTGAGAGCGCTCGCTTTCTTTAACCTCCATACCGTCTTGTTTATGTTGTTTACAAGCTGCTTGAATTCGCTGACATCCGAAAGCGCATAAGATTCCTTATCCATCAGCAGGTACTCCAGTTTACTCCAGTAGTCGGTCTGGTCCATGACGACCGTCAAGCGTCCCTTGTCAGTAGGCAGGGTGACGATATTCTTTATTGTTCGTATAACTCGATTTTTTCCGACGACCCTTCTATCGGTCGAGTCATAAAAAGATGGCTAGGATGGTGCGCGAAAGTTGGTCCTCAGTTCGCACGATAAGCACGGCTACTGATCTTCATCCGGCCTACCAGGAGCTACGTACAAGGCTCCCGTCAGTCCAGACGGGGCCGACAGCACTGGCAAGCGAATCGCGGATCCTCCAAAAGTTGTCAACTTAACGGCAGGGGAAAGAGCCAGCCGGAGTTCATACGACCAACGCGAGGCATCAACCCACTGGCGCGCCCAAACAGCCGAGCGTGATTCGTACATGCAACGGCAGCTGACCGGCCCATCCGATTATGAGGGGAGGGCCCGCGGACACACAGATTTTGCAGCGACTACGACAGCCGATCAGGGGGCAGAGGTCACAGGAGCGCGCCATCGGCCGCCCGAGGAGGGACCAAAGCCAATCCCCAGTCAGAAGGCAGGTCAGAGTTTGTACATCATGCATGTCTATAACACAAGACAGGCGACGAAAGAGGACAACTCCGATCCAGAAGGAACAGACACCCTACCACTCTGATGATGGAACCGAGGAAGATTCCGAAACGTCAGCACCAATATAGTGCAGTCCATGCAATCGCCCATTTTCCTTCCTTGTCTTCTTTTGCGGATGATGAACGGGATAATTTATTAGGAACTCGAATATTCCCTCATATTGATATACATATAGATATATTAAAAGGAGAGGGCTCGTCGGACTATCGAGGTATACTCGTGAATTTTCAAGTCGGTTACACCAACCCGTCGTCAAACGAAATGAAAAGCGTGAGGGAGATAATCGCGCTAGGGAGCTGGGGAGACATCGAGGTTACATCGACAAAACAAACGTCAGTGTGTGGGGGTGAAGAACGTGTTTGGGTGGATGACGGACGATAGGGGAGGTGTTGAGGGTTTCACACATGGTTCAGTCTGAGTGGGGGGGGCTGCTGAATCCGTGATAGTCTACATGGCCGAACATGAATAAGCAGCTGGTCTTAGGGTGGCCGGTATGTCCAACATAAACGCTAGAGCTGTTTGCACATGGAATGTGGTAAATGACATTTGTTTGCTGCTTCTTCGGTATGGGGTCTTTTACGCGGGAGGATTTGGTGCGCAACGAAGACGCCGGTTTGTGGACGATGGAGATGCCGAACTGATTTAATTGTCGAGCGGTCGCTTCGGAAATTCTCGGCATGTAGGGCAAGGAACAGATTTTCCTGATACCCTGTCTTCGTTAGAGTCGACGCTTTGTGGTTGTTTCTGGCATCTCAGGCAATTTTTCACAAAGCTCACCGGATATCCGTTGAGTCTGAAAAAGGGATACACGTAAGTCAGTTTTTTCTTGAGTAAATCGGCGATACTGCAGCAACGATAGCCCCTGTGGAAACAGACGTCTGTTTTGTCGATGTAACCTCGATGTTCCTCCAGCTTCTAGTGCGATGATCTCCCTCACACTTTTCATTTCGTCTGACAACGGGTTGGTGTTACCGACTTGAAAATTCACGAGTATACCTCGATTTTCCGACGAGCCTTCTCCTTTTATTATACCGTATCGGAATGCATACTACCTCCGTTATTCATCATAATGTTGGACGTGGTACGCTTATTATCACCAGACGCTGGAAACCTCAGCGTGCCACTAAAGATTGTGTTTGCTTTTTGCAACATATATGCATGTATATAGACATACATATATATTGTTAATTGAAGCGAAGATTCGAGTCGCCGGATATAAATGAGAAGAAGAGGGGATCTCGGGAACAATGGTTGTATTGCCCTGAGGTTCCAAAAGCTGACAAGCTTTCATCGTCGGATGTGAGTATCGTACGGCGTCACACAGCATTTGTAGGGGGGATGGATGACAGTCATGTTAACACGGTGTTAATTTACGGAGGAGTTGTTAATCGGCTTTGGCTCTAATTGCCCGCATACGCGCACAGGTATCGTCTCTGTAGTCGCCGGGGCAGAGCGGGAGGGAGGGTGACTGCTATCAATCTGCCTGTCTCTCGTCGGGGGGTGACCTTTGAATGTTGGTGGCCATCGCCAGCATTCGCGTTGACCTTACTTGCCGTCCTGGGTTGCTAATCTTGATTGAATCCCTCTGACCACGCTTCTCTCCATCTGCCGGAGTAGTGGTTGAGGCAGCAGTATTGATGACAGCGCTTTCTTCAGGCCTATTTGCGATGGGGCTACGCGTAGGTCCGTCGTTAGCTCTTTGCGGACTCTGAACACACTTTCGACTTTAAGAACGCCAAATTTCTGGGTCGAGGCAATGAACGCGTGGCCAGGGGAACAGTCGAGGCCTGGCACAAAGGGACCACCTCAATAAAGGGTTGTGTCGCCCTTACGACCGCCTACCAAGCAATTCGGACGCAGCACAACGAGCGGAAGAGCAAGTGCAAAGTTAGGCCAGACGTGAATCTAAACACGGGAGAACCTACGAAGAACCTACGCGAGTCATCCAGGTAATAGGGAGAGTGCTTTAGGCAGGATCTAAGGTAAAGAAGACATCCGCCCCCACGCCTAGTCGCGTGGTTTTGACTGCGAAAATCGAAGTCATCTATAATGAGAGCAGAGTCAGGCATTGGAGAATGGGTCCAAAATTCTGTTATACATATAATATCAGGCATCATTTTGAGTTAGTCTAGAGTTATTGACGTACAAACAGTCAGCAAAAGAAGGCTGAACAGGAGACCTAAAGGATGTGGAGACATAGTTCTCGATCATTGGAATGCTAGGGGAGTTTGAACACGGATTGGTACTGAAGCTTAGGAAGGACGATGAAGACTAGAAGGCAGGTAGAGATTTATGGGGGAAAATAAGCAGCTATAAACACAAAAGGGTGGGAAACCAGGAATAGGTTGGAGGTCAAAGGAGTTAGGTTGACTTACGTGAGAGCAGTTGGCCTTAGGTGGTGGGAAGGCGGAACTAGGTTGAGAGATGAATGACATAGGACAATTCACGTATAAATTATTTACTGGATATATAGTAGGGCTTTGGTAAGTAGTTAACTGGTACGCCAGCTAGTTTTGAGTTTTCCACGACTTTGCCTTCAGTGGAAGGATATTTTTCGCTTGTTGGTCCGAAAGTTGGCCAATTATTTGGGACTCTTTGTCACTGTGCTTTAAAATAGCCAAAATTATGTCAGTCAGTAGGTCCTGCGACTCTTCTAGCGTCCGGAATCGCTTGTTAAGTTCTTCACAGTCAACACAAGGACGGGCTGGCGCCGAGTCCGTCTCATTTATCATATAGCATTCAATAGCTGTTGGTTGTACACTAATCGATATTACCGGTTGTATCTCGTAGCTTCTACTGGGCTTTATCCCCTTGGAGTCTAATACTTCCGTCGGCATATTTTCGCAAGCAACGGTTAATGAATTAAGAACCGTTCTCAGTTGCCGTTCCGTAGTTAACAAATTAATCTGACCAGCTACCGACCTTCCGTCCGCACTTCAGTGGTTAACATCCTTTGCGACCAAATGGTCCACGTGGTAGATGCGTTGAACCAACGTAGGGACCATATTGGACTCTGGCAGGCGTTTTTGGAGCTGCTTACCATAACAAATGTCAACGTTTCGGGGTGAGGCGGCGGACCCTTTTGCGGGCGGCCGTCACGCACACTAGGACCCAGACACCCCCATTGTTGTTGTTAATCAGAAACCTGCTTATTTTCTGTGAGCACCAGGGAATGTAGAGTGGAACGCCAAGGTGTGGGCTCGACCGTGCCATCCCCCTGCGTCCTTTCCTACCTCCCGTCTTTTTGA